AGAGCACATCTGCACATTTCTACCTCAGCACTTGCCTTCTGTTGATTGCATTTCATTAGAATATAAGCTCCCTAAACACAGCATAATGCATAATTTATCTTTGCTCACATGCCTAGCACTGGGCCAGTCACATAGTAGATAACTGTAGCTTGCATGTCCCCTGAGGCCACCAATTCTGGCTGTTGCCAACATAAATGTGCATGTATAGTCATCTAACTGATGAGTGGTATAACCATTTTATTATTATTTAGAAAATATTTAGGTTTTTAATAATTACAATTTATAATAAGTCTAAAGATATGTAAAGCTATCTATGAGTTCCCTTTGTTTTTACAGGCAGGCTTTAAAAATATCAAAGTGTGATACTCAACTTTTTCATTTTGTTGTTGTTTTTGTGCAGATTGCTGCCAATTCCTGGGGAAAGTCATGGGGAGAGAACGGCTATTTCAGGATTCTTCGAGGAGTAAATGAGTCTGACATTGAAAAGTTGATTATCGCAGCATGGGGCCAGCTGACAGGTTCAGATGAACCATAATGTATCATTAAATTTCCATAGGCCATGCATTGCAGTAAACCCTTAAAATGAAATTAAGTGGCGCGAGGTTCTCTGTGACAGCGCGCTCTTCACCTTGTTATTGTAATCTGCCTGTTTTCTTGTTTTATCCCCGGCTCTCTGCTTCAGCTTTCTTTACATTCCCAAGCAGATGAAACCAGAGGGAACAGCAGACTGGCCACATGCTTTCAAGTTCCCTGCTTGTCTTTACTTTTATCTCATGACCACGTTCTTTTTGACTTTGACAGTTCACAGTGTGATAGCACTTGTCCGAAAAGTCCATTGCATTTATTTGTAAACAAAATGGTTTCTCTTCCAATGAGGACTTTAGACAACAAAAGCAATGGAAATGCCAATTTAGCATCTTTCCAATTTTTTTTTTCAACCAAATAATGCCTTCTTAATTCAGAGCTTGTTTATGTTTAGTCAAAAGCAATGGAAATAGATTATTGTTTCTCTCAATAAGCTAACGTTTTGTTTCTTTTCATTTGTCTAAAACTAATTTTCAATCTGAACACAAAAGTAAAGTAACTCTCCACAGCAAATAACTACTCTTTGTGGTTCTATTTAATAGCATATAATGTGGAAAAGATGGTAATGGAAAAGCTTAGAAGCCAACAATAGAAGTACAGTCTTGACACATAGACACCCCTATTTTCGGAAGCCAGTGGACTTTGTGTAGAGGCAATAAAAATCAGCTGCAAGACTGTGTTTGGAAAGATAACATATTTACCCTTTTCTCCTCCCCAAAACAAGATGATGCCATGAGTCAGGTGGAATAAAGACACTTTATCACAATCTTCTACACTAATAAAAGAGAAAAATGGTAATTGGCGTACGACGCTACCCTTTTCATTGGCTAATCAGGGGGATATGTAAATTAACTGCCAACTCAGATGGCAGTTAACTGACAACAAAGATGGCGGTTAATTTGCATATGTAGGCACAATGCAGGGAGGCGAAAGGGAAAGCAGGAAGAAGCCCCCTGCCACTGACAGTGATCGGAAACCCATGGGGGTGCTAAGAGGCGGGGAGCTAAGAGCCCTAGGGCCGCCTTTGCCCTGCCCCCCCGCCGGTGATCACCATCAGAAAGCCAGGATGCAGGCGAGGCGGCACTCCTGGGCCCGGGTGCGGCCCTGTGATCTTATGGCAATTGGAGGGAGGGAGAGC